CTATTTTTGTAAATGGTTCGTGATGTCCGGGACACTTCCATCTCCATTTCATCTCTGTGCACTAAATGTGAAAGCTCTTATTTATACCCATGCATGCATGTATGACATGCATTTCCGTATGTGTGTGTGTGTATATATATACACATATATGATCAGTAATGTGATGTAAGGAAGGCGAAAGCTATCCTGCAACGTGCAGCTGAAGTTTACGGTTGCTGTAAAGTTAAGGCACTGATAATATATACATATATATAGATGTATGTATGTATGTAAGTACGTATGATGTGGTGACACTTCTGGACATACAATTTAATTATTTCGTGATAAATATATAATGTACTGTTAATTAAATTAGGTATATGTCATGTGACAGGCCCGTATGTTTTATATAATATGTACATACACACACACAAATATATCTTTGTTTCTTTCTTGGGTGTTATCGTCGTTTGGCAAACCGATAATATACTTTCTTGCATCACATGGCAATTATACTATGCTCTCATACATGCATGGGAGAGAGAGACTGCAGCTTAAGCAGAAGTTCTCTTCTGAAAAAGGGAAACTCCTGAAATATTTCAGACTCCTGAACCAAGAAGATTAGACTGAAATATATATATATATATAATATACATATACGAAAATTCAAATCCTGCCATGCATATTAATTGTAGATCATATCTGAGCTGATCAGCTGGATATCATCCCCTCAATGTTTTCTTTATTAAAAAAAAAATACAAAAAAGAAAAGGGAAAAGAGATGATGACAATTTTTATAAGAGCTGCGCAGTGTGAATTACATGTAGTTAATAAATTAATTAAATATTACTTGTCCTAATTAATTAACTTTTACCTGGGTAATTAATTTAAACATTTCATATTTAACTCCTTGCAATTCTAAGATGTAAAGTTTATATATATATATATATATAAAGGTTTTGCAATAATTTCTTTTACAAGTCAAAGAACAATTTTTTTATTTTAATTTCATAAAAAGTTAATCGGCACATTTAATGAGGTCAAAATTATTTTTCTATTAGACATTGCATAGTAATTCTAATTTTTTTTTATAAAAAAAAACTTTTAAATATTTTTTTACTGGCCAAATTTAGTAAATAATTATTCATAATCGTTTGATGTAAATAAAATACATTAAAATTAACTATTATCCAACTCTAATTAATTATCTCATTTTATATTCATTTAATTTCGCACAATGTATGCTAACCTACGCTTTCAGTCTAAAAAGTAACATAATATAAAATTTTGTAATCATGTATTATAATCAAATCATATCCTTTACAAAAACTGGATACACTTTATATATTTAATAAATATGCATACTAAAGTAATGTATTTAATTGTACTAATCGAACTTTTTATATATTAAATCAATTACTTAACGTAATTATTTCCCATTATATATTATCATTAATTTACTTTTTATTAAATATAGTTGTAATTAAACTGACTGGGTGCTCAATCAGGCTCATAATCATTCAAGACCAAGTACTATGATACAAGTAATTCTATAACCAGGCAAATTAATCAATTTTTTTAAGGAAAAACTTAATCAATTATTACGACATTAGCTAATTATCGAAAAAGTATATGTATGCATGTATATATATACACACACACACACATTATAACATCAGCCCAAGCTTGTGCTAGAATTTGGTAGAGTTATGATTTATGAAAATGATGATCAATTTTACGTCACGCCCATGCAATTTCTTTTTCCAAAAAGCAACATTAAAATTAAAGTTTGTCTTTTGACTTTCAAATTCTATGATTTTTTTTATGATGATTAAATATTTAGTTTATTTCCGAAAAATCTTTTTTTTTTAAAAAAAAAATTTTTGTCATAATTTTCATTTATATTTTGAACTATAGAAATTAAACTATAAATTACTGAATTGTCAACAAAAATATATATATATATATATATATAAACTGTAATAAAAGTAAATAATCACATGTTAAACAAAAAAGAAAAACTTCTCACAACATTAATGTAAATTTAGAATCGACTAATTATTTATTATATTTTTTTCAAAAAAAGGGTGATATAATGTAATACGTATAAGCTGAAAGTGTATGTATATATATATATATATCAGTCAGCATTGGCGTGCTTTTTACATTTGGCCTTTTTGGATCAGAAAGTCATAGGTTTAAGACTGCACGAAGAGCAGCTTTAAGAAACTTTATATTATTATGATTATTATTACAGGACTTGAACGTACCCAATATATACATGAATGGTTAATTGAACCCATAATTTTAATACAGTAAATTAAATTATTTCTATATATATTAATCCATTGCTATAATCATTTTGATTATGAATCAATAATTATTTTTATTAATTAATTAAGTTTGCTTTAACAACACAAAAGCGAAAAAAACTAAATAGCATGAAACATGAGTTTGTGATAAACAAATATCATTTCGTAAATTGAGTTTAGCAGCACTTAATTATTTTATAGTAAAAAATCATGAGGATTTTTCTCATAAATACATTAATATTTTAATTTTAGGGTACAAAAAGTAATAAAAAAATACCTTAATGCTCACAGTATAAAATAATCTATGGGTCATTGATAACACAAAAAGACATTAAGTTATATTAATTTATTAATATTAAAAAATAATTGAGTATGTATCATGCTGCTTATATAATAATTATTCTTTTCTTATATATATACATATACATATACATAATTAAATTGTGTCTGCATACGATTCACCCATCTGAATTTGAGTGCAGAAAAGCTCGTGCAACTTGTGTAAGTCGTTTGGACATGACTAAAAACCAAGATATGAGTCGAAACTTGTAACATTAAAGACTCTAATGCTATATATCCAAAGATTGCAGATACTAAATTTTGATAATTAAGAAAGCCATTTATGATGAATGTATATGATTGTCAAGGAATTAAAAAATAATTAAAAATTAAAAAGAAAATATTGGAATTGGTGTGTTACTTTACAATATTTTAAGGTGAACAACTTTAAATTAAATACTAGGAGAAAATTACCACTTTAATTAGAATTAAACCACTATAATTATAAATAACTTGAAGATTAAATTGAATTTTTAAAAAAACATTAATCATAAAGAATAGTTTAATTCTTACCTGGAAATTTTCATAAAATTTGAGCCCAATCCAAATCGAATTAAAACAAAAAACAAAAAAAACAAAAAAAAAAAAAAGAAAGAAAGCATTTCGTACAGCAGCGACAGTGGGTGAGCGGTACGGCTCTACATGCATCACCATCAACTGCTTGTAAATCACATGGGCTCGGTGTTTGCGCTTTGAAAATCAAACTAATCAGTGGACGTAGACGTAGATCAAGAGGGGTCCACCTATCAGATGATCAGCTGGTCAACAGTGCCGAGATAATTCTTCAATTATTGCTTTTTCAACGTCCATGGATAAACGTAAATTAATTTCTACATTAATATTCCCACAATTTTTAAGTTTAATTTTCATGTAAATGTTTACTAAATATTAAATTAATTAATTACGTGTCCATTAAATTACATTTAGAAGAAATATAAGCACTGTATCTTGTTATATGTATAGTTTCCCCATATATATATATATATATATATATATATATAGATGTATGTATGAGTTCCTATTAATTCTTAAACGTAGGTTTTGTTTATTTCCTAGTCATGGATCGCATGGATGTTTTGCTTCCAAATCTTTATGTGTTTAGTTTATCATATTCTTACACTACATTTGAAAGATAATTAAAAACATGTTCTACCTGTTAATTACAGATTACCATTAATTTCATAAGTATATACGTGGTAATATTTAGATTAAAAAATGGGTGTATCATCGAACTTTATAATAGGTATTAATTTTTATTGGTAATAAAACAATAGAAGTGAAATATGTTATGTATGAAACTAAAATGGAAAATTTTAAATTAAAATATAAAATAAAATTAACTTTTAACCGATTAAATAACCCATAAAAACACTGATGTCTTCAAATATTTGTTTGTTAAGAAAATATATATGTATTATGTGCATAAAAGAAGTCAAAATTTACATTGAAAACTACATTTAAAGCCAGTGAAATTCATCAGTTGGTAAACTTTTTTGGTCAAATGTCACGAAAACAGGATGTAACTATAAAAGCTATTAATTTGCATTTATTTATTATTTGGTACTGTACGTTTGAAATAAAATCCTACTTGTTTCCTGACAATTTCTTTTTTCCTTTTTTTTTTTCACTGTCATTAAATTAAAATTAAATTATTTATTTTTAAGATTACTTGGTCTTTCAGAAAATAAATGATACACACACACACGCGCGCGTACTAATGTCATGGGGACATACATATAAAGGCATATTTCAAGAGTTTGCACCTGTCGTTATCCTACGTAAAATACGTATTTATAATGCACACAATTGATTATTAATTTTTGATAAAATTTGAAGAATTAAAAGATAATTATAATTATGTATTGTATAATAGATTAGGAAGTGTATTATATATAAGTAGAGCTTAGAATAATTAATAATAATTAATAATTAAAAAAGAAAAAAACGAGAGAGAGAGAGAGAGAGGGATGGACCATTGGTGGAGACACTTATTGAATGAAACGTGTGCATCTTCATGGGGTCCAATTTCTGTACCTTGTATAGCAGAGCAGCCCATCTATATTTATACTCTTATATATATATATATATATTTTTATTATTCAAGACTAGGTACTTTTTAATACCCAAAAAAAAAAATTTTATCTATTAATTAAAAATCAAAATATGGATACTAATTAAGCAAAAAATGGAAAATAAGATTTAATCTGTAAATTAGGTTTGGCTTATTACTGACAGACTGACACTTTGGAATTTTGACTCCTATATCACCTAGTGTAACGTGCTAATTTTGGTTCTTAATTCTTTTCATTTTTTCTCTTCTTTGTCCAAAAACACACCTTCTCACTGTATACATAAACATTGGAACATAATATAAAAAAAGGTTTTATAAAATAAAAGTAAAATTTTCATATATATACATATATACGTATATATGGTATTTGATGTTACATTATATAGAAACACAAGAAGCACAAGCACGCAGTTGAAGCAGAGATGGGACCCTTGTCCTGTGCTTAAATTCGAGCTTTTTCGTGGACGACACGATCCGAGTCTGCCGCTCGATCTCTCACTCTCTCTTTCTCTCTCGCAAAATCTTTTATATCTTTCCTTTTTCTTTGATTCTCTCTCATTTTCTTCCTCTTTCTTAATTTTCTTGCTAACCAACAGAAAAAATCTCTTATGGAAATGGACGATCACCATCACCATCATCATCACCAGTATGCTATATCAGATCTCCGCCACCTCATGAACGGTCGTCCTTCAACCCATTTTAGCACTTCTGTAATCCAGCAACCAGCATCCACCGCCGAGATGTACAGGAATCTGGCCCAAGTTCCGGCCCAACAACACCATCAGTATGAGATGATGATGGTGGGTGGTGGTGGTGGTGGTGGTCGCCAAGTTGGCGACTTTATGGCTCGTGGTTTACATGAGTTTTGTGCCGATACTGCTACTACTAGTGCTGCTGCTGCTGCTAGTGTTAGTGCTGCTGCTGCTGCTGCTACTGTTGGTATTAATGCTGCTACTCCGAGTTTCAGTGGATTGGATGCAGACGGCGGTTCCTTCGGCGGAGATATTGGAGGCACCGGGAGATGGCCGAGGCAGGAGACTCTAACCCTGCTTGAGATCAGATCTCGTCTTGATCCAAAGTTTAAAGAGGCTAATCAGAAAGGTCCTTTGTGGGATGAAGTTTCTAGGTATAAATATTCATTTCCCAATATGCCCTAATTCCTCTCTCTTTCCGCCAAGGACACACCTTTACTTCCAACTACTCATCATTTTTCTTTTTCTGGGTATGTTTTTTCTTTCACAAATTCACTCCGCTCAAACTTCGGAAGTTCTCATAGGTGGATTTTTGGAGTATTCTTATTTTTACTTCAACTGATGGTTGAAGAAATTTGGCGGATAACTCGAGAGATACCCAGTAGAATTTCTGTTCTTAGAGCTTGATGACTCCACTCACTTGCATAGTTATGTATTCTTGTTTTGAAAAGTTTTACCTTCTTGCTTTCTTTTAGTACATGACCATCATTATATAAACTCTCTTTATAAATTAATTTCTCCCTTTTCCCCCAACCTCATATATAGTCTTTCTTAGCATGTCTTGCCGGCTTTCTGGGTATTTTCAGCTGATAAATTTGAGCCCCCCAATTAAAAGAAAAAAATCGACGGAGTCTGGCCTAGAAAATGACTAGTCACCATGGAGTTCAGTTACTACTGGCTGCCCAGGTGTTATATTTCTCTCTTTACATAATTTCAGGTGTTATGTCTTCTCTTGCTTTGTTTCCCTGGTTTCTTGTTAAGCCAAAAACCTGTGGAGATCAATAGTGCTTCTTTCACTCACTGGCTTTCCTTATGTATTCCCGCGACCTTCTTTTCTGTGCAAGTTTTTCTGATTACTAGCTACGAAAATGGCTGACCTTTATGGGTTCTCAAGTATCATCTCCTGGTTTCATCAATTGAAAAGACGTGTTTGGAAGAAAGTATTAATTAAGAACTGATCGTTCCACCAAAGCACCCATCTATTTTTAGCAATTTGAATAACCTCGAGCTTAGTTTTGATTAGCTGTAATTACTGAACGAGGAAAAGATATGACATTTGCCTAACATCTCAGAAATCATAATGCAGATGATTAACTGATCAGTCTAGGGTTCCTTTATACGTAATTTAATATATTTATTTAATTTTTCTTCATTGCAGGATTATGTCCGAGGAACATGGATACCAACGAAGTGGAAAGAAATGCAGAGAGAAGTTTGAGAACCTATACAAGTACTATAAAAAGACTAAGGAAGGAAAAGCTGGAAGACAAGATGGTAAGCATTACAGGTTCTTTCGTCAACTGGAAGCTCTCTATGGAGAGTCCAGCAATTCAGTCTCGGTCCCGGAAACGCATTACCTTGGCACCAGTCTCCGCTATCAAGGCGCCACTAACACAAATCCTCATGCAACCCAAGACCCTTTCCTCCATTCTCAAAAACTCTGTGACAGCCTTAGCCTCTCTAATAATACTTCCGAGTTCGATACGTCGTCGTCGGACGGCGCCGGAGGGCTAATGGACAACGACTCGACGGAGAAAAGGAGGAAGAGGAGAGGTGGGAGGAGCTGGAAGACGAAGATAAAAGAGTTCATCGATTTGCAGATGAGAAAACTAATGGAGAGACAAGAGGTTTGGCTTGATAAATTAACGAAGACACTTGAACAGAAAGAACAGGAGAAGATACTGAGAGAGGAAGAATGGAGAAGACAAGAAGCTGAAAGGATTGATAGAGAGCACAAGTTTTGGGCTAAAGAACGAGCAAGACTTGAAGCTCGAGATGCCGCCATGATTGAAGCCTTGCAAAACTTGACAGGAAAGCAATTTAGTAAAACTCCGTCTCCTGAGGAGCTAATGGGTACTGATCAAATCCAAAACAGCAATGAAAACCAGAACGAGAACGGCAGTCATGAGACGATAAACACCACAACGACGACGGGGAATGCGGATAGTTGGCCGGAGTCGGAGATTGCGAAACTTATAGAGCTGAAAGCCAGCATGGATTCAAGATTTGAACAAAGTGGGTGCTCAGAGGAGATTCTATGGGAAGAAATATCTGCTAAAATGGCGTGCTTAGGCTACGAGCGGAGTCCTCTCATGTGCAAAGACAAATGGGATACCATAAACAATTACTTGACACTGAAAACAAAGGAGTACAACAAGAAAAGAAAGGAGAATTCAAGAACCAGCGATGGCGGCTGTGGATATTTCCCCAGCTGTGAGTCATTATATAATCAACCGAATGCTTTTTGCGAGATAAACGAGCAAGGACCAGAGACCATAAGGCTACAAACCACTGATGGGTCTTCTCCGGGTTCTAACTCAAATGCTGCCGGAAACTCCGTCGGCGATAGCTGCTTCCGGTTCTTGATGGCCGACGGAGAAAATCTGTGGGAAAACTACGGTTTGAAGCTAAGCAAAGGAGATGAAAACCAGTAAGTTGTATTCGTTTGTTGATGATGATGATGATGAGTTGAAGGTTAAGCTGATAACGGAAGAGATCGATCAGCTCGATCATCACCGTGTCTCTCTTAACTTCGAGACAGACAAGAAACTGACTGAGAATTTTTATTATGTTGGGATCTTGGCTTTCAATGGGATTAGAGAAGGAGTTTAAGAATTAAGATAAAATAATTACGGGGGTTAATTAAATTGATTAATATCTTGGATCAAGGAGGGAAGGAATTGCTGCATGTTGAATTAATCAATTAATCTCTAATTTTCTTGGCTCTTTAATTAATATGCAGACGATTAATTCTTTTTCTTCCTCTGAATGCAAATTATATACGATATGTGTGCATATTCTATTAATTCCTCGGCTTAATTTATTTAAAGAATAAAATTAATTATTGTCCTTTTTTTTTTTTCTAGATTTTCAGAAATTAGATTTGACTTTTAAGTTTGACTTGGCTGTATGGTGCTAGACTTGGTGTAGACTGCAGGAAATATAGGGTTAGTTTTAAAAGAATACAAAGAGAATTTATGTTTTATTAAGAGTTAATAGGAATTATTGGGTACATGAACTTGATGAGTAAAACATTGGTAGATCATAAATGAAGTACCAGTCAATAACTAAAGATTTGTAAGAGTAGCTGGGGCAGAACACCTATACCGCTATATACACATATATACATATATATATATATATATTTATGTATCCTCCTGTATCTCATTGGATGAGTCTTGGGGATGGATTTAATCAAAGTACAGTAAAATTAAACATAAGACTATCATGGATAGTTTGGTAATTCTATATGTATATATATATATATATATTTATATTAAAGAGTATGAAGTTAAATAGGAATGTGGGTATTTTTTCATTAATAAGTAGATTATGTTATTTCCCCTTTTAAAGACACAAATACAAAAATATCATGTAATTACTTGAATATATAAATTTTTTTACTTCCAAAATAACATAGCTCCAAACTCTACTCAATCTTTCTTCAAACTTTAGTCGCTCAATAACTATATATTATTCACCAAATTTATATTATTAAATAAAACTTTTAAGTTATGAATCTAAAACTGAATTTTGCTGAGAAAATTATAAATTTATATCCAATTGCTCTTTTAGTCATTGAATCATTGGTAATGTTATAATTAAATTTAATTTTTTTTTTGTTATAATTTAGTGTTGAAACATATAAACTATTTTAAGTTTTGATTTTAAATACAATTATAAAATTTTTAATTAAAAGTTATAGAAATTATTTCTGCTTTTTTTCGTATTTTATTTTCCACAATTAAAAATATAAAATAAGTTTAATTGGACTATAAATTATCTGTTATTAACTTTTTAAATCAAAGAATAAAATTAATGTCTTAATACTTTACATGGTTAATTTTTAATTATCTATAAATTCTGAAATTATACTCTTTATTTACATAACACCGAATACAAATCTAGTTATAACAAAAAAGTAACTTCATTGCAATATAAGATATATATATATATATATATATACACACACATGTATCTCATATTTCGTGACAAAATTAATAACTTTCTCTGTCATTTAAATGCTACTTTGAAAAAATTAAATGCTAGGTTTGCCATCATTTAATTTCCTTTCAACAATTTTTCCCATGTATTACCGTCTAAATTCTATAACATTATGTAACAATTCAAGATTTATAGTTCAATTTTTAATTACTTTATATTAAATGTCAAATTTTTAATTGAGAGAGAAAAAATTATAGAATTTTAATTATAAAAAAAAAACCAAAAAAAAAATTAAAATAACAATTATTTAAGATGGAAAATAAGAATATGGTAAGGTTATAATTATTTAGTCATAACTATGAGATCTTATAAGTTCTCAGAAACATTAATATAAAATTAATCTCTTCATGTCCAAACACTGAATAAATGGCAGACCATGAAATGACTCATTCCATCTTTTCCTACCTATTTTAGCTTCAGAAAATATCATTTTTTTATTTAAGAAAATCACTTTTTAACCATGAATTCAAGAATCTAAATTCTCATCTTCATATGAGAACCTATATATATATATATACATACATACACATATGCACACACATATATAATATCAGAAAAGGAAATTTCTAGGGTATGAAAGAGCTAACGAGCTCAGACGTCGTTTATACATATATAGAGACAGCAAAGTTCTATATATGATGGATGACTACAAGGCCTTATATATTTTATATTATATTTAAAGTTATAAGCTAATAAAAGAATATGACATTACATCTGGTGATTTAATATTAATTAATTAATTAGTTCATTGATTATTTCATATAATTTCATGTATAATCCCCATTAAATCATCGTGCTCACTGTATTTATTTTAAGTTAAAAAGAATATTTTTTTTTTAAAAAAAAAAGAAAAACAAAGATGAGTTTATTAAATTTTACAAAATTTGATTGTCTCTAGTTAAAATTTTGTTAAAAAATTAGAAAAATAAAATTTATAGTAGACCAGCATATTAATGCAGTTTAATAATTTATTTATGTTCGTGAAATATTAAATAATATAAATAAAATAATAATTGGTTAAATTATGAACATAAAAATTCATAATTATTAAAAACTTATACGCACAAATAATTAGAATATAAAAATTGCCCGGAGTTAAAATTCTTCGATGGCTTTATTTACACAAAGCAATTAATCCTTCACATTCATATTTCTCCATCAAAGTGTTTAAACCTGATTAATGCATTTGTTGGCTCCATGCATAAGACAATTAAGCCTTGATCCTCATATTTCTTTGTCAACTCCATTAAAATGAAGCTACAAACAAAACTTAAATATATATATATATATATATATATATATATATATGCACACACACAGATACATATGCTGGCCTTTGGATGTGGAGTGGGGTACTACTCTTGAAAAACCAACTTCATCAATTGGCTCCTGTTTAATTATTTCAGTCATTACTCACTATACACTGACATGTGCATAAAGAGATATATACATACATAGATATATCTGTGTGTTGTGTGACGTGAAGATCACAGACGAAACAGAGAGAAAGAGAAAGAGAAAGAGAAAGATGAACATGAACATGGCTTTTCTTTATATCTGGAAACTTCACTCTTTTAAAAGAACCCTCATGGATTTTGTATGGTACCCTATAAATACGTACAAATATACATTTTCATGATGACCGAGTTTTGTGTTAGTATAAATAAATTACTCCCAGACAAGGACTCGTCCGTACAAAAAGGAAGAAGTAAAGAAGCTTCCCTCATCAGAAGAAACCAAGCAAATGGGGGACAAATTGCAGTCATCATTGTAAACCCAAAAAGATAATATATACTGAGACATACATATATCCATAAATATCTACATACATAAACACTTGTCTTTTCCCGTTGATCTCTCTGAGCTCGCCATTGCTTTCTGTTTCCTCTTTCGTGAAGCCTGAACCGAGATTGCTTGTCTCGTTGCGTGGAGACAGTTTAGCCATTAGCAGTCAACGTAAAGGATACTACAATGTATACATACATATATAATATAGTGGAAAATTTAAGTTAAGGGAAGTCAGCTTTTTTAAAGGTGGTGTTGAGGATGTGACTAGTTACTGAAGTAACAGAGAAGTTATACATGGAACTGCCATTGCTGCTCTTTGTAGAGCAAACCTTGAAAATATGTATATATATATATATATATATCTAGATCATTGAGTCTTTGATTAATTGAGGTAGAGTCCTGTAAATAAATCTCATAAAAATTTTATTCAACTTTTTAAATTGCAGGAGGTTAGAATCAGCCAAAAAGAAATTTAATCTAAATCATATAGGATGTGTATTTGTTTGTTTGGAACATAATTTGGGCTTATTGTGTTGGAAAGCTGCCTTGTTCGATCAAGCTTTTATGTCAGACTTGACACAAAAGCCCAAAACAAGACCAAAATAAAAGCCCATTTCAGGATTATATTGGCTAAGCCTTTAGGCCTGACATTCAAATGGATTTATTTATTTTAATAATATTTACCTATCAAACAGTTTTATTTACTTATAGACTTATATTTTGATCCATTTTTTAATTATAAAATATGACTTGACATTGTAGGACTTCGAGCTTAGCTCCGTCAAATTAGCCTGATGGAAGTTCTTAAGATGTGGGTTCAAAGTTTACTCTCAGGTTTTGGCTATTATAATTTCAAGACAAACGATGATATCCCATATCCCTGTTTATATGATGTTTTTCTCCTTAAATTTCTTTGGGCTTTAACTGAAAAGTCAGACGGAAAGTTGGGCCCCAAAAGCTGCCTAAACTAAATCAAGATTTCTGGAGTCCGCACCTGATGTGCCACACTAATCATGAAGAATATAAGCTACTACTGCGCAGACAATTAAGGAAATCGAAGAACCTTTTAGAAGACCCATTTCAGGAATTATGAATTGGGCTTTAGGGTACCCTGCCTTTTACGAAGACACAGAAAGAAGAGAGCGATAAGAGATTAAGAAGAGGGAAAACATATTCATCGTCCACATATTCTCAATACAGAAAGATTCTCAATACAGAAAGAAAAGAGAGAGAAGAGATAGGAAGAGGGAAAAGATATTGTCAACTCTATAAAAGACAATTAAGGAAAATCGAAGAACCCTTTTAGAAGACCCATTTCAGGAATTATGAATTGGGCTTTAGGGTACCCTACCTTTACGAAGACACAGAAAGAAGAGAGAGATAAGAGATTAAGAAGAGGGAAAACATATTTTCAACTCTACAAAAGACAGTCTCTTTATAAAAACTCCATTGTCAGTTGAAAGAAAAAGAGAAACCCACGTTCAACACTTTCCCAAACCAAACTCACCCACTGGAAAATCTACCTCCGGCTTATTATTATCATTATTACCCCCTCTACCCTTTGCTTCCTAAACTCCGCCGGTTAATTCACACAAAAGGGGGCCCAAAAACACAGTGCCTCAAAACTTTGATAG